ATTAAGATGGATGTTATTTTACCTACCTTCATATATACTTACTTATTTCGTGTGATTATTATTGTTGGTGATTCGGTTTTCACTAGTTGAGGTAATTTTATTACATTTGGCTTGTATTCATCGCATGCATCAAGAATTTAACAAGGTTAGGTTATGTTTGGTTGGACCAACAGTTAAAGATAAATAAGTATAATATATACAATAATAATTTATTAGTTAGTGTTATATATTGTATAAGTGACACTCCGAACAAAAGGCTTTTTTCAGACTTCATTTTCTTTTTGGGTACAGCTTGATTTAAAATCTAGTTACACTTTTTGAGGAATTCTAGGAAGAAAATTTTAGTCGAAATAGCGGCGCTAATATATAATGTGTGTGGAGTGTGATTAGGTTTAGGTTTTCCTTGGCTGTACTATGTTCATTCATCAGCTTAAATGTTATATGTTATTTAATATAATAGTATGTTTACACTATAGTTTACTTTTTTTAAATATATTTAGCCTGCTCATAATATTTGTCTTTGTTTTACCTAACTATACTTAATATAACAACAATAAAGAATAAGATTGATTTGTAAGAGGGTTATATGTTAGATAACTCGTGCATTGTATTAAGTTTAAAACTTACTTCATATGACATTTTGGTGGTTTTTTAGGTATGGTGTACAATATTTAATTGTAAAAATAAAATGTTGATACACTTTCTACTCTACATGCTATACCTATGCTGTGTAGTATCAAAAATAGTTAACACTAGAATAGTAAACCTTGTAAGTAAGAGCCCGAGCCGCTAAGCGCTCGGCTAAGCGAAGACTATTAACATGTAAAGTCCATAATCACTGTTTTCGCCCGAAATACTAACAAAATTTTATACACGACCCTTTTAATGATAATTTATTAACAAATAAGTATTTAAAATTTTATGTACGACCGTATTACGTTTATTAATAAATAACTATTATTCTCTATTTTTCGCCTTTTGCGAGCATATCATTATAAAAGAAATTTAAAGTAGTTCGCGGGCGGTATCCGTGGGCGAAAAAGGGGCACTTTACGACCGCAACGTATTTATAATCTGGACTTTACCACCCGGTCGTGTATAAAAGTTATTTCTGATGCTTTGGAATCATTCTAATGGTATCAGAAATAATAAAAAAAATATATAATTTTTCAAGCAACCTGTCTACCTATCCCCTTAAATATTTTCAAATACTTAGGTAGGTAGGCAAGTATCTATTTGGTCCTAAGAAGTCAAAACAAATAAAAATGTTGGGTTCGAATTATTTCATCTTTTTGTATAACATGAAAGTTATAATTTAATAAATAACAAAAATCGCCTTTCCAATAGGTACCTACAATAAGTATTTGGTAAAATTTTCATCCGATGGTGCCCTACAGAAATATTTTTTACAAATAACTTTCCAAGACCACCGTGTATAGTCTCACCTAGATAAACAATGCAACAGGTGTCTGTGAAACGTGTCTGAATATCTCCATACACTTTTTCGAAACGTTTTGTAGATCATAATACAGAGGTAAAAGAACTCAAGAATAGAAACTTACCTGTTTCGGCATTTTGTCTGGTGTCAATGAATAATCCTATCTGAAAATAATGGAAAAAAAAGTTGTAAAATGGAAAGTAACCCAAGAAACGTAGCTCGTTATCAAATTAAACATCTAGCCAGTTTTATTTGAATTTGCATAATTTTAGTTCGTGTTACTTAACGTAAAGATCAAATAAAACGGGTTTTTTAAAATTCCATTTACCTAGCTGTTAATAAGGTATGAATTTGAAGAGCCAATAAAATGATATAGCAGTCAAGTTTGATATGAAAAAATGCAAACACGTACGAAATATAAAACTCAATATTTATGCTTATTTATATTGTAAAATATATCATTCCCATTTTTCCGTTTAAAGGTTTCCATCTTCAAAACTGCTCGTACTAGGTACTAATCGAATTACCTATGTACCTGTCACGAAAAATAGCCTTCCAGTAAAAGTAAATAAAAGGTAAAAAGTCATTTTTAATTCTATAAATCTGCGACTAATGCTAGGCATGCCAATAATTTACGTTTATTATTTGCTATGTTGCAATCAAGTACGACAGGTAGGCTATGAGACTGTTTTATCGCCGGTACATGTTCTTGTGTCATTATGGCGCTAGCGATTCACAAAATAACTTTGACAAACAAATGGATCAACGAGACTCACCGAAAAAGAATAAGCTAAAAGACAACAGCACGTTTATTCCACTACATGAAGTAAATAACACACGCGATATTTTTCGGGCACACACCCTTTACACACACGAGACAACTTGTGACAAATTGTCAAGATTCATCGAAATGTAGGAAAATTGCAACGTTGCCAACTATTTGTTTTCTGATATTGCAAAAAGTAAGTTCAAATATTTAGCAGTTTCAGACGAAATTCTACCAAATACCTGAGATAAAAAAAAAATATAAAACTACTATTCGTTTGTCATGCGTTTTATTCATAGTTAAATTATAAAAATATATATACAATTTTTATTCACAAAAAAGTATAGCTAGATACCGTACTTACTTTTACTACATTTAATTTCTTATGTAAAATAACTCTTGGTTTCAGAAACCCTTTCCATATTAATCAGTTTGAGAACATCAAATTTCGCTATTTTCCCTACATAACAAGCCACCGTCGAAGAATCTTAACTTTACATGACCTTTGCCAACTGTGAAATTCTTTTATAGTAGTATAATTCAGCATCATTTGGCAACAACGCAAAATTGTTCACGTATCATCCGCTAGAATGTTTGACATTTGAAGTATAGGCTGCCATCTACTCACGGGTACTGTAGTTACTTTCTGATAGATTTCTATTTTATTAACTTGTTATTAAAAAGTATTAGGACAAGGATAACTCGTAAGTTGAAAACCATTTTGTACACATAGCTGCAATATACGGGGTATCTAATATAGTGATCATATTGTTTACTTATACAGGTACAGAATTTTGAATACGGAAACCATAGACGGAAACTAGACCTTACAATGAGCTGAACAAGGTATAATAGGAAGATAACATAGCACTCACAGCGATCTCTCCGTTATACCTATGCGTTTTAGTTTTTCTATATGCATGTTCCTATTACATTTTGTTCAAACTCATTTGCGTTTACATCCGATGCATTTTTTACATCTCGAGCGTCTGTTTATCCTCCTCTCATCGGACACATCTGCGTTTGTTTATCCGAGATGTCCATTACATTTTTTACATCTCGATTTGAAATGAGATGTTCCTTCCATGCCAGAAAGTAGGTGTTCTGTGAAGTCAAGTTTATCGATATATCCTGTGTTTATGCTAGCGTAAATATTTAAACGCAGCACTAGATTATTTTTAAAAGTGAAATAACTGAGAAGTTAACTTCTATTAAAATTTTTAATGTTTTAACAAAATTTGATCAACGTTTCCATTCCTGGGTTGAAAACACTTTTTGATATGACAAAAAGTAAAGGTAGTAGCCATATAAAACTAATAGCTATTTATGCAACCAGTAACGAAATGCCTTATTTTATATAAGGAGTTACATAAAAGAGAATTTCATAACGTGTTATATACATACAATATTTTTTCTAAGTTTGACTATTTATAAAATTATGTTTTGGTAAAAAATTACTGACATCTAGGCAACCATTCTTGTATTGTTAGTTGCATATGCATAACTTCATTCGTTTCATTGACAAATAAAAAATCATATCAATTTATTTATTCACAACGACTTGTACTTAATGTTTATATTTGCTTGTTAGTTACTTAGATTTCAAGAAAGTGGGTTATATTGTCATGTATTGTGTTTTAATTATTTTGTGCTGATTTAGAATGGAAAATAAGGACCAAAACAATATTATTACTAGGTTGTAAGTTTAACCAAATTCTATTTTGACTTACCTGATCTTCTTTGATATAAACTTTCAATAAAAATATAAATAATGATTTTAAAACAAAAAATGTTTATTTCTATTTTTTTTTCGCAACTGGTGACAATGTTTCGTAACCAATGTCATAATGTTCAACATTATGCAAGTGGCTGTGCAAAGCAGATCATTTTGACACAACAAATGTCACTTTATATGTCAAAATTAGAAAAATATTTTTATCAATAATAATCCATTATAATTCAGGTGTTATTTATTTACAATTTTATAATTTTTTTACAATTAAATTTTTATACATCACTTAGCGAGTTTTTTATTTTGAGAAAACTTAATTTTTATGACTTAAAACTCACAAATCAAATAGTCCATTAACGCTGAATCATCAAAAAAAAAATTATAGAATTGAATCGTTGAGTTCAAAAACTGTACCTACATGTTCAAAATCAGCCTTCCGAGAAAAATAATAAGAACCTTTTAACGTTGAAATTACTTGACATACTATCTTCATGCATAGAAAAGTTGTATATCTCGTGGTTTGCAATGTATTTTTAATAGTAGTTTTTCAGAAAATAAAATGGACTATCAATGACATACAAATGGAGTATGGACTTGTACGGTTTTTGAACTCAACCATGTATATAAAAAGAAACAGGTGAACATTTTTTGATCAATCGATGAAAAGATAAATTTTAAACAAAATGGCTATCTTACTAAAAAATGTAAAATTTTGGACTTGTACGGTTTTCGAACTCACCGATTCAATTATAGAGACGATTGATGAACTTGTGTTGCCACCCTCCCTATTCACCTGTTTAAATTTTAAAATAGAAACAATTTGCCAATGTGGAAAAGTTGATAAAAAATTGAAGATATTAAAATGAATCAAAATAAATGAAAGCTACTAAAATAGTGTGAAAAAGAGAGAATTAAAATGAGATAGTCATCCTCTTATATAAAAATACCAATTTTTAGAACAGAAAATATTTTTCAATTATTATAATAACAATCATGAGAAACATTTACAAAATTGCACACACACTAAGTTATCATATTTCCTTAACATACATTGACAATATACTCTACTGATGGTTTGTTTGCAAATAATGTCTCCTTAATGAACTCTTGTCTGTAAATGACTTATCACAAACGTTACACTTAAAAATTTTCCCAGTATGGGTGACTAAATGTCTACTGAGACCAGAGGCATGGCAAAAAACTTTAGGGCAAAGTGAACAGTAGTGCAATTGTATGTCTGAAGGCCCTGTCGTCAAATGCATTCTCATATGTACTCGTAGAGGTTCTTTTTGGGTAAATCCCTTATTGCAATGTGGACACACATACGGTTTTTGGCCAGTGTGAGTCATTAAATGCCTGAAACAAATAATTATTAAGAACATGTCTAGAATGAATTTAAAAATAAATTATTTGAATTTTATTAAAAGATACTTGCCTGTATAGAATTTCCTTTTGAGCAAAACTCTTTTGACATACTTCACATTGAAATGGGCGTTCACCTGTGTGAATGCGTTCATGACGGACTAAAGCAGAACGTGTGGGAAACCACTTTTCGCAAATGCCACAACTAAAACCTAAAAAAATATATATATATTTTATGACACAAAAGTAAACTAAACATGTACCTCTTTGTTGCATATGTACAGAGGCATGCCTCTTGAGTTGTATCCTTCTGGAAAAAGATTTTGGACAACTTGGACATTGGAAAATGTTTATTTCACCATCAGCATTAACTTCAGGTTCCGGCTTTGGTCTTACTGAGTCAGCATCTTCTTCAGTCATTAACTCCATAATAATAACAGAACCATCTTCTGTTGTAACTTCAACATGTGTAGATTTTCCTTCAGATTGGTTTAGCTTCATTTGAACTGGACCATTGAGATTTAGTCCTATTAAAGAAATAAAAAAATCAAAATCTTAATTTTCCGTAACATATTTTCATAAAAAATGTATAAAGATGTAACCTGTTTGATTTGCAAGAGTAGCCTTCACAGCATCAGTAATCACATCGATATTTGTTTCATCCAATCCTGATTGATCTTCATCAAGTTGGTATATATTTTCTACTTCCTCTTCCTCACTATTTACTTCACTTTTCATTCCATCATTATCCCTTAAAGTGCATGCTTCTTTATCTACTTCATCAGTTTCTTTTGGTAAAGTAATGTTTTCAGGATCTGGTTCTACTTCTTGATCTTGTTGAATATAAGCAACTTTTGTTACTCCTGAAAATAAAAAGATAAAATAAAAAAATTAAAGAAAAATATAACTATTTGGTTAAATGCATATTAAAAACCAATATATTTTTTTTTGGCAATAATTATTAGATATTTGATTATTAAATTCATTTTACAGCATTAAATCGGAAATATTGTATTTACTTTCTTACATACCTACTAAATCTTGCTCTGTGCTAGGTTCAGTTTCTGCTTGTTCTATTTCTTGGACCTCAGTTATTTGAACTTCATCATCAACTTGCATGTTACTGTTGCTGTCTTCTTTATCATACTCATCTTCTGGTAGATCTCTTAAGTGTAATCTAAGCTTCAAGTCAGAGCTTTCACACTTTTTTCGAAAACCATATGATTTTTCCAGTTGGTATTTACAAGGACGACATATTTTGTCAGGAAGTCCATCTCCTTCAAAAACCTGTATGCATTCATTCATTTTATACTTATTGTTGGTGATAAAAAATAAAAATTGTTGAGCAAATATTAGTAATAACTAGAGCCTGTATGTTAATAGGTAATTCCAGGTACAGACTTCTCTTCATCAAAATATTTATTGATTTAATTTAATCAATTATATACCTAATTGAGGATGTCAAATGGAGTAAAGGCAAAGACGAACGTAGATATTAACATACATTACAAGATAAAATATTAAAAAATAATTTTTGAGTTTTAAATGATCCAATCAGAAATAATGAAGAGGATAAAAAGGTATTAAATACCGACCCCTAGATCATATTTTTTCTGATCCGTTTCAAGTGTTAAATATGTTTTGGTACTGACATCATCATTTGTCAAATGGAGAGATGGTACCTAAGCACAAAAAGGGATCAGTTTATTTTTCTGGTTGAATTTTGTTTATTAAACTAAAATTCGGGTGACACATTATATTTTTCTAAATATGATGAGAATGTCATAGAAAAATTCGTCTCGTTCAACAGTAGAGTGGTGGATAAGCAATTTTCCAGAATTGGAATTTAATAGTGTTGAACTATGTAGAATATATAGACTTTGTGACACAGTTGTACTGTGTAAAATGCAATCTTAAGTTTTACAGCATTTGCCCACATTAGAAAAATACTTGTACCTAGTTGAAAGCAATGAATATTATTTTTGATCTCCAAAAATTCATTTCCCAAGTGTCAGGAAGTATTGCCGATTGTGTGACTGCCTGCAGTCTTGTGACTCTTTTAAAAGGCAAAACCATAGATTTTTCCCAAGGAAACATTAATGTGCCATCTTAAACAATTACACAAACTTCATGTACCTATACCCCATGCCGTCCCTGGATGTTGAAAGATTGTTTTCTGTATATAAATAGATTTTAAGTGACAGACTGGTGTAATAGTATAGTGTACAATTTTAGTAAGATTCTCTCTTTCTCTCTCTCTAAGTGATAACCATTTTACTGAAATCGGTAATCTTTTTATAATAATAATATAGACATTAGGAATACTATCTTTGAATTATACGTTATAAGTATAGTTTTATAAACTTTGGAAAACCCCTGTATTTTCTATATTATTTTTTATAAACATATGCCAAATTTATAAGGTACAACACTACAGTAATAAATTAGGATTATTTTTTTAAGCTATTGTATAGCTTTTATAGCGGGCTTTGACCGCGGAAACCGAATCAAGAAATTCCGTAACACCATAACAAAAAAAAACCTAACACCCCCCACTCCGACCGGCACAGCGGTGCGGCGTTAAACAATATTAACTTCTCATTTATTCAATAAAAGAAAATCGAAAAACCGAAACAGAAATTCCGCAACGAAAATAAACCCAACAGCCCCCCCTCCGACCGGCACAGCGCTGCGGCGTTGAAAGTCGTGCATCGTCTAACGTCGTTTCAGTTCGGCAGACTTCGGCACAGTGTTTGTGTGCGTGCGACTAGACGTATGCGTGTAGACTATAGCAAGTAATTGTTCTGTGACTATAGCTGCTAACTGCTCATAACTGATTCTATCTCTTTTAGACACAATTTCAGACAAATTGAATAATGATCCACAAGAATCCACAACAAAATATGGGACCACCATTGACGCGGTATTTTCCAGATATTTAGAGGATAACAAGTCTCAAACTTATGTTTCTTATTTCAGTTACCATAAACCTATAGTTTCAATGATAAAAATTCCTGAATAACCTACACATGTATTGTAAGATAATAAAAATATTTTAAACAATATTCTCATTTATTCAATAAAAGAAAAAAAATTGTTTTCTTATCGGTCACCACGCTCAAAAAGTGTAACTTGAATTAATATCAAAGAAAAAAAATACTGCATAAATAAAATAAATAATTATAATTGCAAAAGTTGATAAAAAATGCTATGCAATAGCTTTACCGCGGCAGTCCCCAAGTGCCTCCCCTATTTTTTATTGTTTATTTACATTTCATTAGGAATGTGGTTCTGAAAGTATTTTTTTCCTGAAGCTCACAACACTTGTAAAGTTAACTAGATTGTGTTTACATTTGAAATACATTTATATTGTTAAATTGTCCTACTGTATTTTTATCTTTAGTTTAGTTATTGTATATGGGTCAATTACTAATATGAAATCGTAGATTATAATTCTGAGAAGTTTTAAAAATTGGGGTTCATTCTCCAGCCACCAAGAAACTTTTAATTTAAAATATTGAAGATTTGATACTGCCAGTGCCATCTAGTATTATAGTAAATTATTTTGTTTAAATACGTCCCTTTTCCTTTGGAAATAATAATATAATAATTAAGGCGATTTTTGGGGTTGGGGTGAATTCATTATATGTTCCCATATTATTTAGATTTGCGTATTAGAGCAAAAATAAAAATAAGAGGAGAATTATAAGAAGGTATTACAAAAAAATTACCTCAAGAGCTACACAAGCCGTAATTTTAAGTGTAAGGGGCACTGCATCGTCATCTTGATACATAGAAATCAACTCATCCTCTTTACTCATACACAGTCTACAGATTTCATTTAAATCTATGATTACTTCTTCACTGTCGGCTTCCAGGGAGTCTGTTTTCTTTCTGCTGTATGTTTTCATTTTATTAGAACGAAAATTGATAAACTAGGGAACTATTTTAATACACGATCACTACTTTACCACTTTAGCGTTGCGCTACCTCTGTAAAGTCTGTAACTGTTTGGGCTAGGTAAATGGCGTCGCTCTCTGTCAGGATTTAAAAGATCACGATATTTTTGATATTTCCTATGAAAAAAATACTTACAAAATATTTTCACCGTAGTATTAAACCATTTAATAAAAATTAATACAAGATCCCCTTAGTTTAAATAATGTTTCCTTAAATTTAGATTTTATATTTCTATTTTTTTATAAACCATAAATCATTTTTCAGTCGAGTCCCTCTTTAACAGATGGCGTTGCACACAAAAATTTAAAAACCAGTTCTACCAACCTAAAAAATTGGCAACGTCAATAAAATTTATTGCCAAATGTAACCTCACTTTTCAGGCATGTTATAAACTTATAAATAATAGTTTTTAAAATAAATGCTTATCAAGTACAAATGCAATTAGAATTATGAGTACTCCAGTCGTTTCTTTAGAAAAATCATTAGAACATTTTCATCATCTTACTAAAAAACCTGAACTATTTTTGAAGTAAGTACAGCATCTAAGATTAAACATAAGATTTTTTATAATTGTTTAAATGGACGTAACGTTTAAATTTATTTTAGCTCAGAAAATGCTCTATACGATTCAGTAAAAATCCATTTAAAAGAAATTTATGATTTTGCCAAAACTCAAGAAAAAAAATTAAATGGATCAAAAGGTTTGTCTAAGTTACTAATACAAAAATTTGACACTGAACAAATTTGGCAAGAAATTGAACTTCAAAATGATGGTATACTTACGAAGTCTCTAACTGATGTTACAAAGCTAGTTGTTAATAAAAATAAATTAGTGTTTACAAATCTGATTGATGAAAACAAATTAAAAGATGTGGATGATGATGGCGAAGAGAATGAAAATGAACTTGAAAACATGTCTGACATTGATAATGCATCAGATGAAGAGGACGATAAAAATGATGAAGCAATTTATTCACACAATTCTGATGATGATGAAGAAGAAATGGAAGTTGACAATGCAGGTGAAGGTCTAGACAAATTTACCAACAAGAAAAAATCAGTTTTGGATGACAATTTCTTCAAGTTAGATGAAATGGAAACCTTCTTAAATAATGAAGACAAAAAAGAAATGAATCCAAATGCCATAAAAAATACAGAAGAATCAGATTCTGATGAAGAAGAGAGTATTGATTTATTTGAAGAAGACGAAGCAAACTTAGAAGAGGAAACTGATAAGAGCAGGACTGCAAAATTCAAAGACTTTTTTAGGTCAAATGAGCCTCAGAGAAAAGAAATACCAAAAAGAAATAAATTTCTGGAAGAAATGAGTGATAATGATGGCGAACAGGTTCCAAAATCTTCACTAGAATTAAGACAGGAAAGACTTCAAAAAAGAATAGAGCAAATTGAAAAAAATGCAATTGCTGAGAAACCTTGGGCCCTCAAGGGAGAAATTCTTGGTGATAATCGACCACAGAATTCACTTTTAGAAGAAATTTTGGAATTTGATTTAACTTCTAAACCAGGTTTGTTGTATTTCAAATGTTTATTAAATTGGTGATATACTTATTATGTATTCTATAAAAATTGAGTTTTAAAGATACCATTCTTGTATCTTCTAGTATCAAATTCTTGGAAATAAAATAGTTTTAAACCCCCGTTTTAAATATATTCTGCTTATTTCTAGCTCCTGTTATAACAGAAAATACTACTCTTCAGTTAGAAGATATCATCAAACAAAGAATTAAGGACAAAGTATTTGACAGTGTAGTAAGAAAAGTAAAACCAGTAGAAACACCATTAGAATATAAGAAAAAACTCACATTAGATCAAGAAAAGAGTAAACATTCCCTTGCCCAGATTTATGAAAAAGAATATCTTGATCAAAAAGCTGCATTGGATTCTGCTAATGTTGAAAAAGAAGAGGAGGAACCAGCAGTACATAAAGAAATAAAAACAATGATGCGTGATTTGTTTAATAAACTGGATGCACTGTCCAACTTTCATTTCACTCCTAAACCTGCATTACCAGAGCTCAGGATTGTCAATAATTTACCAGCGATTAACATGGAAGAAGTTGCCCCTGTTACAGCCACTGAGGCTTCATTACTGGCTCCAGAGGAAATTGGAAATAAGCCAAAAGGAGATATTTTGGGTAATTATATAGAGATTGTCAAAAATAAACTTTACTTTAAACATTTAGGCTGTTTCATGAACATAATTTTTGTCATAGGTAATACTGAGAAAATGAAAACTGATAAAAACAGAGAGAGAAGGAAAAAGAAGTTGAAACAGAAGAAACACAAAGAAATTATTAGTAAAAATATGTTATCTAATGGAAAAGCTAAAGGAAAGGTCAAAATGTCTGAGGTTCTTAAAAATAGAAATACACAGAAGGTACATAATTTAAAATTAATAATTTCTCATATTTATTTTTTCAACAATTAGTGGGCTCCCTGTAACATTATTCTATTTTTTAGATGGAAGAAACTAGTTCTAAAGGGATTAAATCATCTAAGGCATTCTTTACTCAATTACAAGAACAAGCACAAGTTCATATTGGTAAAAAACTTCAAAGTTCAGGAAAAAAGAAAGATAAAAACAAAATTGAAGCAAAAAAAATTAAACTTTAGCTGTATTTATATAAATATAGGTTAGTTTTAAGAATGTACAAATACCTATGTGTAATACAATAAATATTTAATAACAAATTTGTTTTTTTTTTATGAAAAACTTGATATATACAATTTATTGTTGTTTGAGACACAAACTTCTAATTAACTCAGTATATTCTTTATTTTTTCAAATAGAAATTATTACACTAAATAACAAATTTTATTCAACTATTCTAGATTGTTCCTTTTAACTAAATGTTTAATAATTTTTAACTATGTAACCTTTAAAAAACAATTGAATTTTGTTAATTAGATATATTTATGAAAAATTTAATAATTTTCAAAAAATATTGCTTAATGAATTCCAGAATTATTTTATTTCAAACGTGTTGAAATATAAAATAAATTGAAATTTTAGTGATAAAATATTTTTTAAAATTTACGGAATAAATCTACCTAATACTACAGACATCAGATATTGGATATACTGCTAACATCTAATTAGTTGATAAAACATTTTTTAAAGTATGGTGTACATAGAATGAAAAATATTTACAAATTGAACTCAAATCAACTGCTCGACACATTTCACTCCAATATTTTTTAATTAATATGATACAATTTTTCACCTTCATACTGGCTCTTTTTGTATTTTAACAATCAAAATTATAAAAAAATTGGACTGACAACACAGGAATTACCTGTTTCATTAGATAACACCCAAATTTAATTCACATGCTTTTAGGGAGTGCATGATTTGACAATAGACTGATTCAAACCAACACTAGACATATGTGAATTAAATATGGGTTCATCAATTGAGATAATTTCTGTTGTCTAATTTTTTACAATTTTCCATAACAAATGAGAAAAATTGTATCATATTAATAAAAAACACAATCCATTATATACAACAGAACCACAGACTGAAGAGAAACATAACTAGAAATAAAATACAATTGGCTGTAAAACCCCTGGTAGTGCAATTTTAAAAATGCATGTTAGGGGTATTTTTACAAGGGTTCATTTGAGATCACCCTCTTCTAAAAGTTTTTTTCATTCCATGTAGGTACACCATATTAAAAAAATATCTTGTCAAATAATTAAGATTAGCTCAACAGAAACCTATGGGACACCTGGCATACAAAAAACTGTAGGTTTTGAAAAAGTGAAAATTACTTTGCAAATTACAAAGATATTTAATGTTATTTTTTATGATTTGTATCAGTAATAATATTGGTATCACAGTCAACTGTTTAAACAATACAATAGCAAATAACAGTACCTCTTGATATTTGAATAACTATACCCAGGACAATAATTCATCCCTTTCACTAGATCTATTAATTTGTTTACAATGATAATGATTTTATAGAACTATAAGAACAATAACTTCAAATTGTAAATAAATATATAAAAATCTAAGTTCATCCATATTATGTAAACATATTTGTGAGCACAGGGTTAACTCAAATGATTGTTTGATTTAGTTTTGGGTTAATAATGCACTCAGAAGATAAAGGGTCAATCCATACTATAATTATTAACACAAATACATAATTTTCTGAGACCAATCGATAAAAAATATTTTCATATATTTTTTAATGGTATTAATTTTTAACAAATTATATCAGGCTGGTATTGATTTCAAATCTCTTAAGTTTCTTAGGAAAGTGATTTCATAGAGAACAAATAATGTTATTAACTGATATTATCTTCTCAATGTATTATTCGTCCACTTACAATAACAAAGTTCTAACTACACCTTTTTTCAAATTCTAAGTTTTAGTATTATAGGGTTCTAACTGCTATTTTCTGCCTATTTTTAATAAATATAGCGACATCTAAAAATCGTAAGATAAACTAGAATAAACGCAGAGTTCTATCAGCCACAAACATTTGTTATTTTTATTTCACATGGTTGTATCTGCCTACACTTAGAACTATATTATCCGAAAAGAGTAGTTAGAACGTTGTTATAGTAATACGGTATTGACGGCTGCTTGTTTTATAACCTTAAAAGTTAGTGTATCTGTGTTGTGTATAAAGACGACCAAAATTATAAGATTACCATGAATAGAAGTAAATTAATATTAAAAATGGGTAAGTAATAACAGCCTAAAAATATGATTTAATAAGTGCTTTATAAAATTTGAAAGCTTTCGTTATATTTGTTTCATTATTTTAAGCTCATGAGAAATGTAACGGAATTCCGTTGGCCGAAAATGGCAATAAAAGTGAGCTTTTAACTGTATCTCAATTGTCAGAAATCGTTACCAATGATAATGTAGCCGACAATAACTCCTTTCATTCGATAGAAGATATGATAGAAAACGCGGAAGTAGTTATGGACTGTGACCAATCTACCGTCACCTCTTCATTCATTGTTTCCAATCTTTCAGAGCAGTGTTTTACTAAGGCACATTTAGAAGACATGACCCAAGAAATTGATGTAGAAAAAAATCTAGTTCAAGTAATAAAATGAATTAAAGCAATAACAAACACAAAAATAACATCCCCTCTTTATTTTTTAGCTAAACGAATTAGAAATTCAGGTTTATGGAGAAAATGCCCTATTGGAATCAGCAGAAATCATGACAATTTCTGAACTTCCAGACCAATGTGTTGAAGCTCCTATAGAAAAGGTAGCCCAAGAAGTCGTTATTGAAACTAACGGAGTGCAGGTAATTAAATTCTATAATATTAAATACTCAAAAAACACATTTTTTTTTATTTTTCAGCTTCATGAATTAGAAATAAATGAAAATACTGGACAAAATAAGATATCCGAAAACTTTATAGAAGTTTTAGAGACACAAGAAAAAAAAGAACACACGAAAACTAATTCAGAACCAAATGAACTAAATATGTCAAAACATGAGAACAAAATACTTGTAAGAAAGAAAGTAAGTAAACCAGAAACATGGAAAAATAATATTCGAAAAAACCTCTGCCAGGCAGGTAAAGAATATATTAGCTCAAGAGGAAAGCATGTTTGCGCTAAAACGATAGTGAATAAAAAAGACTGTCTAAATAACTGCAAATTCCAATGCTGTAAAAAAATTGGGGAGAATGCCAGAAAAAATTTGTTTCATTACTACTATGAATTGAATCAAAATGAAAAGTACGTGTTTCTTAAGCAAGTAACAGAAAAGTTTATTAAAGGGCGCAAAACTACGGAAGGTGCGTCTCGTCGTGCCTATTCATTTAAATACTTTTTTAAGGTTCAAGAAGAGAAAATACAAGTATGCAAAAAATTTTTTTTAGGAACACTAAATATTTCTCAAAAACCAGTTTATACCGTACATTCTGCTGATAGTGACGTTCCAAAAAAAGATCTGAGAGGAAAGACCGGCAGTAGAAAATTAGATAACAAGAAAAGGCAGGTCGTTATTGATCACATTAAAAAATTTAACGTGGTCGAGTCTCATTATTGCAGACAGAATAGTCAGAAAAAATATTTGGAAGCCACATTAACAATTCCAAAAATGTATGATTTATATCTTAAATATTGTGCAGAAAATAACATAGAAAATCCGGTTAAAGTCTCAATGTATAGGCAAATTTTCTGTACTAATTTTAACTATAGTTTCCATAAGCCTAAAAAGGACGTTTGTGAGACCTGCTCGACTTATTATTTAAAGAAAAAGGAAAACAGGCTAAGCAACACCGAAGAAGCTGCCATGGAAAAACATATTGCAGAAAAAGAAGCTATGAGAAAGGAGAAAGAAAATGATAAGAAAAGTGGAATTCCTGTTTTATGTTTTGACCTGGAAAATGTCATAACTTGCCCAAGATCTTTTATTGGAAATTACTTTTATCTGCAAAAGTTGACTATGTATAATTTAACAGGTCATTTATCCACAACGAATAAAGGATATTGTGTATTGTGGATTGAAACCCTTCAGGGCCGAAGTGGAAATTGCCTGGCTAGTGCCTTTAGAAAAATTATTGAGAAGGTTCTAGAAGATAACCATTTTAATGTACTTATTACTTGGAGTGATAGCTGCGTTCCCCAAAATCGCAATTCCCACATAGCTTTTTGCGTTTTAGATTTACTTAGAAATCACCCAGATCTTGACTGTTTAACTATGAAATATTCCGTTCCTGGACATGGTGCTGTACAGGAGGTAGATAATATTCACAGCCAAATTGAGAGGCACATGTCACAAATAGAATTTTTTTCACCTTTGGGGTTCATAAAGGAACTTAAGCAGGTGAATAAAAAAAATCCATTTGTTATCATTCAGATGAAAGAATCAGATTTTATGAACTATGAGGAGTGTTCTAAACAACTGAAATATGATAACATACCATTTACAAAAGTTTATACTATGCAATTTTCCAAATCTGATCTAACAGAAGTACGTTTTAAAAGAAGTCACACAAATAATGAGTTTATTAAGGTTTCGATAAGTCCTGCTGTTCCTGCTCTCCCACGCCGTAGAACCAAAAAATTTGCGGAAGTAAAATCCCCTCCTGAAATTGCAAATTTAATACCAAAAATACTCTCAAGCAAGAAAGAAATCTCCAAAGAAAAAATTAATGCTTTAAAAAAAATGATGCCGTCAATGCCGCAAATTGACCAAGATTATTATAAAGCACTATTACATTTATAATTTTCATTACTTAATGTTCAATTATTTCGTTTAATTAATTATGTAGTTACTTTACTTTGATTAGTTTTAATCAGTATTTTTTTAGTGAATTTATTTTGATTAAAAATTAAATAAATTCTTTAAAAATATTCACATAGAACTTTGTTTTAATACCATGACTTATTATACACAGACTTTCTCTAACCTGACAAAGTTGTAAGTGACAGTTAGAACCATGTTCAGTTAAATATTTCTGAAAAAATAAGTTCACAAGGTTCTATCTTCATTTATAACTTACAAATTCGAGGTTTAGGTAAAGTCCAATCCATTATATTTAAGAATTAAATGATAATATAAGAAAACTTTGGAAATATAAAAATTATCCCGATTTAATAACATTAATGTTTTACTAATTATTAGATGCGCAAACTTTAACATTTAATTTCTCAAAATGGATGTATGTCCAGTTAGAACTTTATTATTCTAAGTGGACGTATTAGCAAAACGACTTTTAAATTTGATTGATACTTGTGACCTGGCCTTACTTTTGTTTTACTTCAAACTTGATACAGTTGAAGAAATTATTTGTTACTTTTAGACATATCATTTTCTAAATCTTTTAACTGTAGCTCCACAACCTCTTGTCTATTTACAATATGTGAAATTCCATAGGTTCCATCTTTTAACCAACCCTGACTTTTTGCAACTTCTTCTCTAACTACTAAGAACAATTCCTTGTCTAGCGAATCCATTTCTTCTCTCAAGTAGCATAAAAAATCAGAATCTTCACCAATTTGTTGTGGATTATCCAGTTTTGAATCTAAGTTATAAAATATACCATTGATCTTTTTAAGTGTAATCCAATGCCTTCTTTTTAATGGTATGGTAATAAAACTTATTTTGTAATCACTGGGAATATTTAAAATAAATCCATCAATATTAGTTAATTTCAAGCAACCAGGATCTTTCCTTTTATCAAACCAAATTGCTTCGTAACCTCTGTTTTGTAGAGCTTTCATTATAACATTAATATCATAATTTCCCAGTCCCAAAGCAGATTTGTGCGGATTTATCCAATGGTCCGGCGACAATGATGTACATATTGAGTCAAATTCGTCTTTGGTAAATGCTCCTTTCGATTGAAATAAATTATTTAAGGCATGTAGAGCACATAATTCTCGTATTTGTTTCTCATGATAAATACTAACGGCGTTTGCGGTCATTCCGTAAATTTGAAATTTACAAAACAGTGTTATTTAACTGAATTTCATTAAACAAAACATTTATTTATTCTTGAGTCATTTTCGGATATTTGAACCAATAACAATAATTTATTTTTATAACTTAACCTTAATATTTTCTTCTTATTCAATGAAAATACAAATACAATGGACCTACTTCTATATTTTCATTTTTTCTCCATGGGGCTAAGCGGTTATTTGAATGTATTTGCTTAACAGCGTTGACGAATAACTATAAACGAGAAGAAGCAAATCATTTGACAATAATATTGACATTGACAGGTGACAAGACAATATTGATTGACACTTATGTGTTGACGTTTATAAACAACGCGCACATCTAATTTTTATTCAAAGTGTAGATTTAAAAAATACTTTTAAATTTTTCTAAAATTAAAATGGAATGTATTGTATCAAATGTTGATCATATAAAATTCGATATTGAAGTAGCCCTTGAAGAGCAATATGGAGCTTTACCGTTACCTTTTCATGGAATGGATAGTAAGCCCGTCATTATATCAATATATTTATATTTTTAAGTTGTTTATCTTTTCAGAATCGACAGCGGCTGTTTGCTTATTTTTTACCACTGCGAATGGATGCCAAAAAGGAGCCCAGTGTCCATTCAGACACGTTCGAGGAGATAGAACCATAGTTTGTAAACATTGGCTTCGAGGTCTGTGTAAAAAAGGAGATCAGTGTGAATTTCTGCATGAATATGATATGACGAAAATGCCAGAATGTTACTTTTATTCACGATTTAACGCTTGCCATAATAAGGAATGCCCATTTTTACATATTGATCCAGAAAGTAAAATAAAAGATTGTCCTTGGTATGACAGAGGTTTTTGTAGACATGGACCGCATTGTAGACACAGACATGTCAGGAGGGTGTTATGTACAAATTATTTAGCTGGGTTTTGTCCTGAAGGTCCTAAGTGTAAATACATGCATCCCAGATTTGAACTTCCTGCACCACCTGATCAACAAAAGGAACAAAAAAAGACACCCGTTATTATTTGCCATTTTTGTGGAGAACATGGACATAAGGCTATACATTGTAACAAAATGGTAGATCCAACCAAAGTGTTATTTATACAACCAGATGATAATAATAAAGAAAAAGATAGTTCTGAACAAGCAGCTCAAAACTCGTATTTGCAAAAAATGCTTCCAAAGAGACTTGAGGATGTTACTTGCTATAAATGTGGTACTAAAGGACATTATGCTAATAGATGTCCTAAGGGCCATTTAGCATTTTTATCACAATCAAAATCTAGTAAAGAACAAAGTGATGTAGATCTAAACTAACTTAGATGTTTAATAATTATTAATGATTTAATTTAATGTTGATTTTTTTGATTGAGTTTAACCTCTTTAAAACTAAATTAGACAACAAAAATAAATAAAATTATATTTTTGTTGATTTTGCTTTTTTTGGTGGGATCAATGACAGAAAATGGTGCAATTTAGTTCATGGAAATAAAGGTACTGCTATAATTTGTCCAAGAAGCAAAATAATAAACTAAGAGGTTAAACTGATGTTTTTGTGTTTAAATAAAATATGTAGGTAAATAAGTGAAAATAAATTTTGTAATGCCTAAAATAAAATGAAATAAGAAACTTCTGATCAATTTATAATTTTTATGTTTTCTTTTACTCTTTTACATATAGTACAATACACCTATGGCGTTAATATAACAAAAATAATTCGGATATTATAACACATTTATACTCAAATAGATTTTAATATTAAAATAATATTTTTCATCTATACATATTTTGCACTGGATATTCACCAATGATTTTATTTACTCTATATGAATAATTAGAATTATGCTTGACAGGATATTTTCAATCCAAAACTAATTGATTTAACATATTAAGAAGAAACAACAAATATTTTATTAACATTTAATAGTATCCGAGTTAACAACAGTCATTTTATATGGACATTAACATTAATAATGCAGATCATTCAGCAACAAAAATGTTTTCTCCATATTTGAATTCAAACAACTAACTATTAAATTTGTGTTACTTATTCCCAAGTATTTCTAATTCGATATATAACAAAATATGAAGCAAAAAATGTAGTAACTAAGAAAAACAAGCTTTAAGATAATTATATGTTGTCATTGTATGCTAAAATTGATACATATCTAACAAAGCATTAGAAATGCAAGTTCTCGACCAGCAAGAACTTTTACAAATTTTAAAATTTAATAAGATATACACAAAAATATATATTTAAAACAATCTTAAGATAATAATTTGTTTATATCACAATTAAAATGTATGTCATTTATTACATTTTTAAATGAAAATCGTTCATATGCACTGTTGTCAACTTTGATTAATCATTTCATTATTTATGCATTATATAGGTATGCCTTATATTGTGCTCAATACATTTACAATCATACAACGCACATTCATGTATACAATCTGTGTTAAAAAATATTAAACTACTTAAAAACATTCATGTCAAATTTAATTATATTAAATTGATTTTTTTTTATAAAAGCATGGAAATTATTTTTTGTATATGAAAGTGTTGAATTCTTATTTAATCAATCTTAAAAAAAAACTGTTTACTAGGTACATTTTCTATTTTTAGGTACCTCTAGATTTTATAAAATTCTGTAAAATTAATACTGAATTTTTAACCACTTGAATTTTAATGTTAAAAAACTATTGCACCTTTTATAATTAATATTTTTCCCACATTAAAACAAAAACAATATTCTGTTTTAGATACTAAGTAGGGAATACAATTAGGGTGCTTCATTTTCAGGCAATATATTTTTTTTCTCTGTGCTACCTGAAATTCTAAAACTTTATAAAAAATAAAACATTATGCCGCCGGGTAAAAGGTTCTAAATGCAATAGCGACTTAGCTCATTCAAAAATTCGATTTCCTATTTAAATAACATAGGAAAAAAATTTTTTTTTGTTTCAATTGAATTTTTCGATATTAAAAAATTTTTTTTAGGAAAACCCCGTGAATAGCTTTGTAGGGCATGAAATTTGCTACAAAAAGTTTCTCTAAATAAATCCTCTCCAACTAACAGTTTTTAAGTTATAGAGATGGAAATATGAATATTAATTATAGTTTACATCAAATCTTCTTTATGTTAAAATTTATTAACAATTATCAACAATCAATGCTAGTCAATACGATTGAAGAGCAAAAACTTCTGTTTACATCAATGGACGTATAGACGAAGTCAAGAGTAGCGTCACTGTGGTTAGAAATAAAACTAAAAAATTTTAAAATTAGAATATAAACAATAATTTAAATTTTAACATATTGTTAATTTGATTATATAATGATTATTAATTGAAATTTATATTTATTAAATTAATTTAAAACTAGTTTTTGGAATTAAAAACCTGAATCATATTACGACTCGACTGTAGCGTCCTAATGTTTATAATAAGTTATTATTATATGTATAAATAATACATTTTTGTTTAAAGAAGATTTAACTCAAAAACGGTTAGTCGGAGAGGATTGATTCAGAAAAACTTTTTGTAGCGAATTTTATGCCCTACAAAAGCTATATACAGGTTTCTCCTAAAAAATTTGTTTTAATATCGAAAAATCAAATTGAAACCAACAAAAAATTTTTCCCATGTTATTTAAATGGGAAATCGAATTTTTAAATGAGCTAAGTCGCTATTGCACTTAGAACCTTTTACCCGGCGGTTAAATTTTTAATTTTTTATAAAGTTTCAGATTTTCAGGTAGCACAGAGAAAAAAAATATTGCCTGAAAATGAAGCACCCTAGAATACATACACCATTTTATTATCATCTATTGTGTTATTTTAACTTGCTTTTGAGAATCATAAAACTCAAAATTTAAACAGTTTACAAGTATTATATTATTAAAAAAATAAACTAAATATTGCTGCGGCCTACAAGTAATAAATAAATTGATTTTTTATTGCAAAATTCCTAATTTAATTGTTGTTCAATTGAAAATAAATGTGAAGAAAACAATTTAAAATATAGTCTCAATTCATTTTTGTATAAATAATAACTACTTGTAAATTTTAAAACGGTGTGGCTATAAAAGTAATTAATTTGTAGATTACCTTCAAAACTGTCAATTTGACATTGACATACAAAAAATAGATAATAATTTAATACTTTTTGTTTCATTGACAATTTTATTTAAAACCTTTTTTATATGAATACTACTGAACTAAAATTTCATCGCTGTTACTGCAATAGGTCGTATGTCAAAAAATACAATTTTTAACTTAAGATTTGTTCCAGCGCAAAATAACCGCGTTTTAAACGCCCTACACACGTAACGATTTATCGTACTGCGCATTGAACTGCAGATCGTAAAGAAAATCGTACGGCTTGCAGTACAGCCATTTTTTGTACACACGATGCAACACATTGTACTGCCGCAGTTCAGATTATTCAGTTTTCGTCGAGAAGGGCTACCGTTATGTCAAGAATTTCAAAGAAGAAAGCTGCCGTGCTTGTAGCTGCGGTATGATGAACAAAAAGAAATCAAAAAGCGAAAATGGTGTAAAAAGTGGTTGCTGGAGAGAAAGAAATATTCACATATGAGGTTGTTAAAAGTGCTGAAAAAAAAAGAACCTCTTGATTTTAAAAACTATTTAAGAATGGATTCTGATGCCTTTACGTGTTTGATGGATTTAGTTTGTAATAAAATTACGAAGCAAGATACAATTATGAGAAACGCAATATCTGCTGAAGAAAGATTGGTTGCAACACTAAGATATTTAGCAGCAGGATGTTCTTATATTGTTTATTTTCTTTTTCATCACTTTTTGTGATGCTTCTGGGAACAATTCCTTAAATTTTTTAAACAAAATTTCATAACTGGAATTTCTTTTCATTTTATTTGCATAATCTTTTGATTTCAAATCCCATAGGCATCTATTTTATCTGTATAAATCAATAAAGTCTTCCCAGAACGTCTTATTTTTTAAATCCATAATATTGATTAAACCAAAAATAAATAAAAATTATATCGTAACTGCGCGCTGCGACAGGAATACACTCCACACGTTCAGACTTGCGTTCAAACCCCACCCCAGACACTACCCGTTAAAACGATATTTTACGGAAGCTCCCTACTGCAAACGATTTGACGACTGCATACTGCAAACCATCCAATTTCCCTACACACGCTACGATTTATCGTTAATGCGGCAGTTTCGATGGATATTGTACTGCATGCATTACGATAAATCGTTACGTGTGTAGGCCGTTTAACGTACTGCGAAAGTTCGTATGCGATTACTCAATAATAAAGCGGCTTGCGCATCTTAGCTTATATTTCTTATGTCGTTAAAAACAGGAAGAACCTATAAATGATTACTATTTTTGTATCTCCTGAAATTTTTTTTCACCTATTGCAATAACAACGACGGTTTTTTTTCCGTATATAATAACATAAAACTATATATTACTTTTAGATGCCGAAAAAAACTTGAAATCTTTACTGATACATATAACAAAAATAAACGAATAAGGTGTATCTCACTATTGGATTAGGTATAAAAACATGAAAATATCGAGAACCTTTTGGTTATCCCCCATAATAATTTATCTTTATAATTTTTTTTGTGAATAGTTTTTCTAAATACAAAATGAATGCAAAGAAACAGATATTTCAGTTTAAATTTATTGTATTCATTTTATTTCATAACAAATACTAATCGATTCATGAATATAATTATTTTATATTTCGGTACAATCGAACTATTTACATAGATTGAACTGAGAAAATATTTGATTTCAGTCTGTTTAATTGAATTACAAAATATTTACTTTACTTTTTTTCAATTCAAAATCTGATGAGAACTCTTAAAAATAAGCTTGATTCTGAAATCATTCAAAAAGATAGCTGTATTAATTGGGCACATTAAATACGGATTAAAAATATTTGTAGAAGATATCAATCAATATATTGTTTTGATTTGTTGGAATATACTCTTACCAAGAATAACTTATAGTGTCTCTGTTTTTTCAATTTTACTTTTACGAGATAAATCTTTTAAAGGTATTTTTTTGTGAACAAGTAGCTATTAGTCCAAACAAAAAAAAATAACAGGACTTTGATGGTGGAGGGTTGAAATAAAGTTGTAGGGGGTTAAAAAGGGGTGAAAAATGGTATATTCGCGATCCCCGGCGAAAGTTGACGTCAAAATAAATATGTATAATGCAGAAGATGTAGATCAAGCAGAAATCTACAGCTTTTGTAGGGGTCACTTTTTAACATAACCTCAAAATATTCGATAAAAATGCAAAAGTTCGTTCGAATTTTTTTTGTTTTTCCAAAAATAATTCAATTTTGATGAAATTTGGCAAACTTATACCTTTGTGAGTCTTAAATAGGAAAAAAAAAATATAAAAAAATTCAAAAAATTTTGAGATTAATTTTTTCGGTCAAAAACACTTTTAAAAAAAAATTCTGAAAAATTATCGTACAAAGTTCTTCAGGTGCTAATTTTTTTCGTTTTGACATGTAGTTTTTGATAAAAAAAAAATTATAGTCACCATTAAAAAACATGCTCAAAAATGGACAAAAACAAAAAATGATATTAGAACAATGAATTATTACTTAATTATCAATTTGTTTCAAAT